TTGTAAAGCAAAAAAAGCTTACAAAGCATTGTAAACGTCTCGGGGTTTAAAAAATCAATTTCAAATAAATGAGAACGTGCAGTCAACGTTTACCTACATCCGTATCCTGGGAATAGGAATTTTCTAAAAAAAATGGATAGGTTTTCATGTGGCAGTGTGTGGCTACATTTCAAAACCCCTTAGACTTCTTTTATATCTTATTAGTATCTTAGAACAAAAGGTTGAATTTTTGAAAACTGCTTTCAGACGCCTTAATACAACACTTAATCGTAGGAACAGATGTTAATTTTTTGTTTCTATACCATTGAAATTTACCATAATTAAGTCGTGTCTAGTGTATTGAGTATTAGTGTTTGAATTTTTTTTGTACATTAGGAAGGCAATATTTTAATATTTCTTTTCTTTGAACAATGCTCTATTATTCCGATGTTTTGTAAAACCACCCAAAAGGTATGATAAAAAGCACTAGAAAGTCAAGGAAATAACACCATTTCAACCTCACATTTCAAAAATGTCTCGGTCTATGGGAGAGGTTATTGAGAAAATTGGTTGATATTTCTCTTCTTCTCATGAACTGGAAAATAAAGGTATTGATGAACTTTGTATATCCATTGTTTGAAATGGAACATTTGAACAAACAATAATATTTTAATTAACAGACAGGAAAAATAAACACAAATTATTTTTTTCAATTATATCTGTCATGAAAAGCTCATTTTTTTCAAATGAACTTAACCTACCAAAAGCTGGTCTGATGGAATATTGAATCTCTGCCGACGTCTGATCTATTCCTGCGTGCCTATACTCTTGGCATCCAACACATTTATTTAGTTCCGGTATGAAGGAGGTTGCGAGGCAGTTGTGTTGCATGAAGCACATCTTGGTGCATTCTGAAGGATCATAAACGTTTTCTGTAGAGAAAAGAATTTTGCTCGGTTTGCATGCAAGAACATTAGTCATAAAGTTGTATTTAGTCCAGTGAACAACGTTCGATGATATAATCTGAAGTGTAAGGCATGTCAAAGAAGAAATCAAAATGATATTTGGTTTAAAATCCATACTTTTTTAAACTTATTTTCTGAAGATAAGATACGAACAGTTTAACAACTAATGATACAATGGCACGGAACCTAGAATCTGCAGAAGGAAAACAATTGAATTATTCATATGTCCTGCTGTGCAATTAGCTTTCAACTTTGATGTCTTCATGTCTAGACAAAGATTGTAAATTATACATATATACCGGGTTTATGTCAGCAAATACCTTTAAGCTGCAAAACATTTGTAGCAAGTGCAAAATGCGTTGGTATGCCTTACGTTGAATATAGAACAGTCTAAGTTCATGGGCTTTCTGACATACGAAACAAATATACCAACGGTTAAGAACCTTGGAACGCTGCAATAATTTGCATCATCCGTCCTGGTGTATGTCACACGTCTCCAGCTCAAACGTCAAGTTACGTTATAAGACATTATATGAATTGTTAAGGAAATAGATACAATTCTGAGTGCATTGTTGTAGAATAATGCACGGTTTGAGTTCAAATGCGTAGTAATATAATCACGAAGGCCGATAGGCCTGAATGATTAATTACAACGCATTTGAACGAAAAACGTGCATTATTATACAATAATGCACTCAGAATTAATATCTATTTCCATTCTAACACGTCAAGAAAAAATATAATTATTATTATAAAGTTGGACTTTATGTTTGGTGGTTAAATTGTTTTTGCCTCAGAGTTTCCAATAGTTCTAAACGTTCTTTAAAAGCTGTTCCAGTGGATTGAAAAAAATTAAATCTACCGTGTGTAGAAACATTTTTAGAATAACGAATTTTGAAAACGTTGATATAACTTTGTTTGTTCATTTTATTTCACTCTATAATTTTTCAAGCGAAATACAAATTATTTAAAGTGAAATAAATGTAAAACTTAAACTCGTTTGCGACATTCAAATAGCGTACTTAATTTGATTGTTTTGCACGTGCTGTTTGGCGCTACACTGTGACGTCACGTAAACAACACTTTAATCGTCTGTACAGCGTTAACGACTGAATTAAAGATATTGGTCTTCAGATTCATTTTCTTAGTTAAACCATTTTCTTTCATTCTAGATAGTTTTCACAACAAAATTCGACAAAATTTTTTTTATTTATCAGATTTTTCAAACAATATGGCGCCCTCAATGTGAAAATACACAGGGAGATATTAAGAACGGCGAGTGCATTGTACACAGTTGTAGAATAACTATTTTTTACTAATATAATAACATAGCTTTAAAACCTAAACTATAAAAGCCCAGCTCTTAGATATTTGGCATGAAGCATAAAATTATAGTCTTCCACAAGAGTTATATAAACCATGAGCCTGAGGTCAAACTTGGCCCTACCCTGAAGGTCACATGCCTTTGAAGACTGGTATATAAACACATGAAACACTACACTCAGAGCTTATATATTTGGCATGTAGCATTGCCAGGTAGACCTAGATATAAAAGCTTTATGAATCAAGCACCTAGGATCAAAAATGTTCCCACACTGAAGGATAATTAAGATAAAACATTTATCGGTCAAGTTTCATGAATGGGCCTCTTCCTAACTGACAGTTTATTTTTGATTATCAAACACTTTTCATTGGGCGTATAATGCCCTGCCTTAGTGATGCTCTTTCAACAAATACATATATTGTACAGTCCTTGGCAGAGTATTTTAGTATAAAAGACTAATAGAAACAATCATTGATACAGACGTGTACTATTTACAATCGCATACAATGTAGTTATTTTCGAATTGTCTTACTTTCCACAGCATTTAGAACTGAAAAAAGTTGGTGGCATCCTTTATACATGTTTTTATTTAACCCTTGGTCTAATTTGAGCGGCAACTAGATCCAACCATGCAACCAATGAAGACCACTATCAATCGTGCCGTCTTGGTCTTCAGTGTCCACTAAAACCATACAGTAAATATTTTCAAATATTGTGTGGTATGCATCTTAAATTAAACATTTCTAGAGGTCGTTTTATGTGGATATTTAGCCATGGAAGATTTTTTGCTTTGTTTACTCTATTTAATTAAAAAAAACCAAGGGCATCTTATAGGAAAAAAACGATGTTTCTTAGTGACTTACTTCACAGTCGCACACACTACTGAATCAAACCTTATAAAATCTATCGTTTTTGTTGTAATCCCCATCATTTCCAATATATAATGTCAATCATGCATAACAGACACTTCCTGTTACAATGAGACTGCAGTCTTAGTTGATGGTCCCGTTTTAAACATATTGGTGACGTGTGTTAAAAAGGCATGCGGTACGCTCATCCGGAGAAACTTGAAACAGTTATTATACCTTTAAATAAGACATTTTTATGTTATTCATACCCGGTATAATATCAATAATTTGATATTTTCTCTTACAATAAACAGCTTTGTATCTTTGGCAAAACTATCATTTCGTATGTATAAATTTATTTGTGAATGGTGTAAGTTGTAATTGAGGTTGTTAACATGTATGTATGTAGTTAAACTTAATTAGGGTCCATCCGCCCTTTCGGGCACAAAATGCAGCTTGCGCTGTCGAGTACAGACCCCGGACATGTCACCAGTCATGTCCTTAAAGATTTAATTTTGAAGCACAAAATGGTGATAATTTACCTCCATGCAATTTCCACGGAGTATTAGCCAAAGATATGAATTTTGAGCCGAAAAGAAGGTCACTGTACGCCGGTCAATGAGAACCTAAATGTACAGTAACCTGTGACAATAGGAAAGGTGTTTAGCCCTGAAAAGGGCTGTTGGTGCCAGCTATAGGCCTGCCTTACAAGCCGTCTATCTGTACTAGGGGTTCACGCACCCTAGTACACCATCCTCGTCGTCTCAGCCTACTTTGTAGGGCCACTCCCCTCGGCATTAGTCAGGACACCGGCAGCTAACTTTACAAAACGCCGCATGAATCTTCCATCATCTGCCGATGCCCTGTGCCTTCTCAGCGACGTGCACGCTCCGAGGGGAAGTGAGAAGAGGTTGTTAACACATCTAAGTGAAATTTTATATATGTATATAATTATGCTTATAAAACAATTTTCAAACATCAAAGAATATGTAAAATATGAACTGCAAATATTTGTACATATTATATGTAATCATTAAAATATATGCATTAATTTCTTATTGAAACATTTGACATAGACTTTACAGAAAATATTTTTTTTCTTACCTCCCTTTATTTACGTGAAATGTTAAATTCGGTGATCTATTTATAAATTATGCTATTCGGAACTTACAATATTGATAAATCTTCAATTTGAGCATCATATTTATGATATAAAACCATAAAAAATTGTGTTACAGGATCTTTAAGTAAAATATTATTGTGAATGTTGTTTAGTAAAATATAATAAGTATTTGTCATACTTGAAAATAAAGGCAGGATAAGTAACACGCGTTAGTGTTATTTTTAAAAGAATCTTCTAAAGAAAATTAAAACTATTTTTACGTGCTTTGTGAATAAGGGGCATTGGCAAAATGTCAATTGTCATTAGTTTATTGATTCTTCAAGTAATAAATAATGTCTAGGGCAAGAAAAAAGCACTTGACACACGGACAGCATTTCGGCGAATGTTCGAGTACCGGTATTTCATCGAAGGTTTGAGCAGCATTAATCCAATACCAGCATATCAGCAAGCCGGAAAGGGATTAAAAGTGGCGGTTGAAAAGGTTATAAAGAAATATGATGGGGATGTCCGTGCCTGAGTTGTTCAAGCCACTTGCCCCTCATAACTATGGGTTAAAATCCAGCCAGGGACCTTGGATTATTGCATGTGAGGAAGCTATCCAGCTAGCTTACAATCTACTCAGGTTCCCGTTCGTGCCCTGAAATAATACACAGAGGGGCACCTGGGGTCTTCCTCCACCAGTAAAGCTGGAAAGTCACCATATGATATTATGACCTTTACTGTGTTTGTGCGAAGTCAAATCGAACTCGATAAAAAATTGATTTCATTGTAATGTTTTATTTTCGATGTCGGTAAACAAAGAATAATTCTCTAATCGGAAAAAAATCATTGTTGTAATAGATTGTGTTTATAAGCTTATATTTTAATTTCTCACGCTTCTAGCGAGGCGTTGTGCTGTGTCTTGTCCAGAATTATACGCACTGTTTAAGAACCCATGAGTTTTTAAGCCGAGGTGCTCCCCTGCAAAGTGTATATTACCCTCTGATTTCCCAAGATTCATCCTATCCTCTGGTCTAAAAGCAGGCGTCCAGTAGCTAAATGATCCTTTTGTGAGAGGATTCGTAAGCCAGTCTGATCTAACAAAAGCGTCTGGTTGAGGTATACTGAGCTGAGGATACATGGCAGCCAAAGCAGCCATTCCACTTTCTTTAACTTCATTGTCATTCAAATGACTTGCTGCATTTGCTTCAAACCCCATCAAAGTTAGCTGTAGTATGTTACATCCTGGATAGATTGTGTTCATGTTGTACCAGATACTGTTTTCACCATGTCTTGCTGAAGCATACACTAAAGTGGATACGTTATCCCAAAAGGCATCGGAAAATTCAAAGTACGCTATCGTATATTCACCAAATCCGAACTTATCAATGGCAAGCATCTTTTCTTCCGACAGTGCTGGCTTAAATGAGACCTGTCTTGATTGCAAAACCCCAAGACTGAAAGTAACAATCACATCATCTGCTTCATATTTTGTCCCACCTTCAGTCTCAACTTCTACTTTACCATTCTTATTTTTTATTTTTTTAATCACTTGGTTGAAACTTGTAGTATAATTTGATGGCAGTTCTTTATACAATTCAGATATTATATACGATAGTCCCCGTGGATCAGAGGAAATCATCCACTGATCATTGCCATGTATCTCAAAGACACTTAAATGATCCAGATATTTTCCAGAAAGAGAAGGTGTTTCTCTTCCACTCTCAGTATCAAGTTCATACACTTCTACAGCTTTCTTCACATTTGTGTCTGGTGTCCAGCCAAATTTGCGCAACAATGCTTGTGTGGTGATATCAGGACTACCATTTTTATCCATTTTACGTGCAAATACTTTTACTTTTTCCAATATATCAACGAGGTTATACCATTCGTCATCTGCGGTCTGTGTTACATTTGTTCCGTTGTCGTCACGTACAACCCAGGTATCAAAGTCCTCAATCATTTGCAGTCCATACTTCTGGGCTAAAATAGCAACAGGATTTGAGCCCAAACCGTAAATCCATTGTGCTCCAAGTTCCATTGTGTATCCAGACACGTTAACAGATTTTGCACGTCCTCCAATCCTGTCAGATCCTTCTAGAATTTGGACATTTTCGCAGCCATTATCTCCTAAAGCCTTTGCAGCTGAAACCCCAGCCATTCCAGCACCCAAAATAAGGACCTTTCTATCTGAAGCTAACAAGTTAAACACAACAAATATTAGTATATTACTCGTGAAGATAAGGAATATGACAAGGTAAATAAATTATTTACGCGAAGCTATGTTAGACACACGAAGTCTTTAACCCTTAGCGTGATGGTGGCAACTTTCTACCGTTGCAACCAGTGCAGACCAAGATCAGCAGGCACATGTGCCCAATCTGATCATGGGACTCCATCGTTTGTATTTCAGTCTTGTTTTTGTCTAGATTGAAAGTTCAACAAGTGCACGTAGGATATCAAGTATGGTAAAAGTTTTAGAACAATATATATACAATGTATACAAGAAATTCAATAAATTAATGTAACTAATAATATAACGTTTTATTAACCGGTAAAGTATATATTCATATGGTGTAAAAATTTGCCATAAATAAAAGCTCTTTAAAATATCTAATAAAACCCTTTTGTTTGTCAGAAAAAAATAACACAGGTCGCCCTAAAACGAAGATTATCTTTAAATATTTCAGATGACTAGTTTTAAAACATGGAAACGTGTATACCTGTTCATATTTCATTATTCTTCATATCTCTTACTATGTGAACAATAATTTTATTACCTTCGCATTTTCCTTCCACCATTGTGTAACAGTAACTGCAAGCACATACGTTTTTCTCACATACCATGTGTTCCCCACAATCATCCCGATGATTGCAAATGGTTTCATCCTTGAGTTCTTGGGAGATAAAACATGTTTTCATTTATTACTCATCAAAATATAGAAGTTCAATTTCTTAACGGTAATGCTACATATCATTAGCATGTGGCACATTCGTTGAATGAAATAGAAAAGAACGGAAACCCTAAAAACGCCTAAAACGGCAAAATTGAAATTTTTTATGGACGGTATAGTGGTAATTGCAAGCTACCATCAACGCTCTTTAGCACCGACTTAAGGAGATTCGATATTCAAACATGATTATGATGAAGTTTGAATTTAGTAAACTCCGCATATATGTCTATACGACGGTCATCCTGGAGCCTTCATTGTGACACATACGTGTCATTCCATTAAAAGTGGCATATGGTTCCCATTTTCTGAGTAGAATTCATTCTTGTCCAATCCGGATCTTTCTAGTTTAACGCGCGTTCCGTTATGGCCGGTAATTTTATCATTTTTGCATTGATGAAGGCATCTAGCCGAAACGTATGTAATAAATAATTACTGAATGTTCGTGTTTGTGTGGCTTGTTGCTTCACTTGATGTATGTAACAATTTCCAATTATATATATATTTTTTTTTACCTCAGTGGAGCTCCTTTAATCATATTTATTATATATTATAAATGTAAGATAGATAAATTCGAATTGAAAATCTGTTGTTGGGGAAAAGGTTATTATAAACAAGTTTAAATTACTTTTTACATGGTCGATCCATTTTTGATAGGTTGCAATATTGAGCGAATTTAGTTGATCCTTTTTGCAGCTATTCGCAAATGGAACGAATCCAAGGAGGGTCCAGGCATCGTCAAGGAGACAATTGGTGAGCCATGGTGAGACATTTTGTTGTAGCCAACGAGAGCAGAAGCTTGGCGATTAAAGAGTCTGTCTCTCAGGGTTCTATTCTTTCTGGGGTCATAACACTAGCTTTGGTTAGGTCCAACAAGTGGAATTAAGACTTGTTCAAATAAATTTCAACTTCCATTACAAAAGAACTACAGTGAATATGTTTAAATTAAACATCACCTTTATCATAGTTCAGTACAATAAGTTAATATGAACATTGTTTACAAACATACTGCAAAAGCAAAGAAATCTCTCATTCAGAAAAAGAAAACAACAACATTTCTTTTCCAGTTTTTACCGTCTTTGTCAAATCCAGTAACATGATTAGCGACATCATTCTTTCGTGATTCTTCAATCTTGTCTTCATCAGCTATATCTGGAATCTTACTAATACTAAACCGATCAATATCAACACTTTCAGAAAGTTTTCCAATGATGACATAGCTTCCTTCTTCCCGTTTCTAAAATAAAAAAAAAGATCTTTCAAACATACAAATCGACCATTCTCAGCGTTTGTTGGTGAAACAACGAGCAGACGAAGAATTCACAAATGGAACATACTTTAGTTCGTGAAAATCCATGCTGGAGTTACTTGTCTAAGTGAGTGGTTTTACAAGTATGACCCTGAAGTATTTCATTTGTTTGATTCATCACATTGACCTAAAATTACATTGTACGACTACTTGCTAATGAAGTAATATATATATAATAGCATGTGTAAATGACATTTTTCTGTAGACATCCCTAATTGTGCGAGGAATTTCCCTACTAGATTTTGCTAATACACATGTATATGTTAGACATTACACTTTAGATAAATAGGCATATAGAATAAAAGGGAATTAAACATATAAAGTCAACATGACTCGAACATCCTGTCACTGATTTTGTACCTAAATATACAGTAGTAGTACTATAATGGATTTAGTTTATTTAGAATTTATTTTAGTTTGATTGTGCTGGAAGATATTGGCTTACTAACACACTCTAGAATATGTTCCTGGAATCAACTTTTATTGCTCAGTACAAAGTTTCTTGCTTAAGGGACTTGCCTCTGACTGGGTTTGAACCACTGTGACTAATGATCTTTAGATTACTAGTCCGACGTGTTAACCACTCGGTCATGTCACAATGTACGTATGCAGAAGGTTTATTTATGCCAGACATTTCAACCTTACACCCATGGCCTCTCGATCATGGATTATGCCATTCTAACATTCCACCCATTGCCTCTTGGTCAAGGATTATGCCATTCTAACATTCCACCCGTGGCCTGTTGGTCATAGATTATTACATTTTAACCTTCCACTCTTGACCTCTCGATAATGGATTTCGACATTGCAACATCCACCCCTATCCTCTCCATCATGGATTATTACATTTTAACCTTCCCCCCATGGCCTCTCGCGCATGGTTTATGAAATTGAGATTTTTCACACTGGCCTTTCGATCATGGATTATAACATTGAGATCTTCCACCCATGGCCTCCTCTCGATCATGAATTATAAAATTTAGACGTGGACGAAAACTTGCATTTTCCAAAACCGTTCATGAACAGGCTCAATCAAACCGAGCCTGCAATATTTTCAACTTTCTCGTTTCGGGCGTTCTTTAGGGATTTTGTTTTTCTCTATTTTAGACCTTCATGTATAATCTTGATGTTATCTTGATACTGTTATGTGTGTATTGCATGCATTTGATAGAAAATAAAATGTTTTTATCTGAATTTTATCTCTCTTAACAATTAACAGTTTAACAGCTTTTATTTGCATTTTCCTTTCAAAATACGTCCTTTTGTTGGTGATGCTTTGTGATAAAGAAGTAATAAGTTATTTTATTATATACCTACATTTTTCTCCCTAAAAACACGCAAACCTTGAAGCAGCAAATACGCTTCGACGAGATAGAAATTTCCGTATTATGTTAGTGACAAATACGGTTCCATATATGGAAGTGCCGGACTATTTTTTGGTTTGGTCCCCGCCTTTTATTTGCGTTACGTGGTGTATTGAAACGGGAACCAATACTGCAAAGAGCACTTTGCGGGGAATCCATTGCTATATTTAGTAACGAAATTCCGCTGTCAAAATATATAAACAATCATTTTTTACCGAGTTTTATTCACTTTTTTCAACATTTCAAATGTGAAAAACCTATAATTTTGTCCAAATTTCAAAACCTGTTTAATATACACAAATAACGTTCGCGTCAAAAAAGTGTTCGTGATTTTATAGACCGTCTGCAACTGTACTATATACATGTAGTGGGCGTTACTGTCAATGGTAAAACGTAACGGAGCTCTATCTGTTAAAAATGTCCGACGATTTGTTTGATGATGACTTGGACCTATTAACCCTAACTCAGAATGGGTATTTTGATGTTGTTGAACAATCTGATGAATTGTTTGGCTTTGATTTTGAGGAGGAGGTTTCCCAAACTGACCATGCCAGTGAACTGAGTGTTGACATAGCCAACTCCCTCATAGATCTACATCATCATTCTGACCCAGTTCAGCATGACACTGGTAATATAAATAAAGTTAATCCAATCATCACTGAAACTTTGAATTGTACCACACAGTGTCCAGAAAATCTTGTTGGTGAGCTAAACTGTGGCAAATCAAATACTAACAATCCAACCTTCCTCAACATAACTGATGCAGAAAAAGAAAACTTTGTTATAGGAATGAAAAACAAAAACACTGCAAAAAAAACTGAAACAAGTCTCCGTCAGTTTCAACGTTGGCTGGTTGAGCCACCAAGAAATGATTTGAGGCAAATCTGGAATATAATACCAGCTGAACTTGACAACTTCATTGGTTCATTCTTGCTGTCAATTCGTAAAGTCGATGGGTCAGAATATGAGCCGATACACTCACCTCATACCACAGAGGCATTGACAGGTAATACAGTAGACTTGTTTTACATCAAAAACTTTTAAACAGCGATTCAAACCGTTCTGTATTTTTTTTTCCATTCATGCTTCTACCACTGGTGACCATTTATTCTTATGTGACTCATGAGTCAATCTGCAGAGTGTAGTGCTAAAATAATTGGTCTCATATGACACAGCTTCCATTCATCCTGTGGCAAAAAAAATATATGTGTTATCTATAAATCTATGTTAATTAAAGCTGTTATGAGTCAAAATATTTTAAGAAAAACAAAACTTGAAATTTAAAAAAGATTCAAACAATACAAAAGTGAATTCAAGTAATAATTTACATTTTATGTGCACTTACACTGATTTGACTTTCCCAGTAATTTTAGAGACATTTTTGTATATTTTGACCTCTTTTTGATAATTTATAGAGGATATTCAAGTTTTTTATTTTGATTGATTTTCATCCAGTGGTATGAAAATAAATATTTCATGAGTGCATTAGCCACAAGTGAAATATGGTAATTTTCATGCCACAAGATGAAAATAAATCATGTATTTATAGAAAAAACTTGAACTTTCTGTTTATTATATATACATTTTTCTCTTTTTGACATTAAAATTTATAAGACTTTCCCTGAAATTTTGTGTACTGGCAGAATTTAAAAGAAATTAGTCCGGCAAGACACCAGTGAAAATACGAAAAATATGTTTTACTGTGGTGAAAAATAAATTTTTACAGTGAAAATGCGGAAAATGAAAATACGCATTTTATTTTATCTATATTTTTCAATATTTCATTTATATAGAGGATATTGAATGAGTGTAAGTTCAATACTGAATTTATTGCACGAGTTGAATAAAATTATATTATGCGAGCCTCTGGCGAGCATAATATTATTTTATCCAACAAGTGCAATAAATTCAGTAATGAACTTACACGAATTTAATATTCTATTTATCACATACCCAAAATAAAAGACCGTTTTTAAGTGAAATAAGAGCCATTTTTTCATTGACGCGCCCTATAGGTATGACATTAACATTTAGCGCGTCTTTACACTATGTTTATATAAAGCGCTTAAATGACGTCACGTCAAAATATATGCACGGACGTGCAATACCATATTTACGGAGTCATTTAAAATCGGCACGGGTGTGTGATAAATAGAGGATAATGAATGAGTGTGTTAGTTCCCAATACTTTTTATTGCACGAGTTTGAATAAAATTATATTATGCGAGCCTCTGGCGAGCATAATATTATTTATTCAACGAGGGGCAATAAATTCGAGTAATGAACTAACACGAATTTAATATTCTATTTATCACATACCCAAAATAAAGACCGTTTTTAAAGTGGAAATAAGAGTCATTTTTCATTATCTCGCCTACAGTATAACGCTAACATTTAGCGGTTTTTACACAAATTTTTTATACGCTAATGACCGTCAGGGTCAAAAAAATATGCAGGGCCGTGAAACCTTTTTACGGAGTCGAAAAATGGGAGGGTGGTGTAAAAGATAAAATAAAGCAGGAAAATGGAAATTTTCCCTTTTCTTTGAAACCCCTTTCAAAACTACTTTAAAAAAAAAATCATGAAAACTTTTAACTTAAATAGGGTGTTTCCCCAGTTTAATCATAAATTTTTTTATAGGAATCTATATAAAAAGCCTTTATGTATTAAAAAGGAATGATTTCTGGAAAATTTTTAAATTTCCCTTTAAGTACTTTTTTTACATTTGCTTTTGGTACTTTAAAATTTTTTTGGGAATTGTTTTTAATTATTTACTTTTTTAATTAAAAAGCATATGAAATTAAAAAATAAATTTTATATAACAAAATTTCCCAAAAATTTTTTTTTAAAATTTTTTTTGGAAATTTTTTTTTAAACTTCAATTCATTTTTCATTATATATTTAAATTTTTAACTATTTTTAAATTTTTGGGGTAATTATTTAAAATTTTTTTATATTAAAAAATTGAATTCGAAGGGTATTAAAAATTACAAATTTTTTTATTTCCTTTACCCTTTTGATTTTTTTTATAATCTACGGTACAAAATCCAAAAATTTTAAAATTTTTAATTTTTTTTTTAA